GGCTCGGGAGGGTCGGAGGGAGAGAAAAAAGATGAAGTAGTTTTGTGACTAACCTTCCCCAATCCGGGGAATTAAATCTCATAAATTTCATCAGTGACTTGAACCCATAAACCCCGAATCATCGTGAAAACAATCTCCACCACAGCCTGATTGAGCGAAAATAATTGTGAATTAATTTGCAAATTGAGGATATGAGCCGCTCGATGTGCGACGTCACTTTGAAGTATGAAGCAGAGAGGTGACCCTCGATGAGAGGAGACAGGGCAATAAGTTTTTGGACGGGGCCATCGGGGTTACGAACGATTACAGGTACGTTATTTTACCTATTCCCCTTTTTTTATCCCTTCTTCGTTTTTTTTATCTCTCTTTTTTATACGAGTGATATTGATTTGGGAGAGGCTTCGTACTCGTGGCACGAGCGTACCATGTGACTACCTCCGTAGAGGTATAGAATCGGGCCGCATAGCGAAAAAAGCCGCCCCCCCCCCCGTGTAAGACAGAGAGGGCAAGATATAACTGGCGATGCATCAGCGCAGCGCGCATTGCGGGGGGTGGGGGGTACACCGTCGCTGGGAAATCCCTCCGCGTCCCTCTCTTTCTCGCCCGCGTGTCGTTGCAAAAATTCCCTCCTCACTCGCGCCCTCACGCGAACAAGAGACAGAGAGAGAGGGAACACGAGACTGATTGGGAGAGTGGCGCACCGCTCTCTCCTCCTCGACTGCTTCAGGCCACTTCGCCTCCCGCGTCTCCTCGTAATGCGCCGTGGGTCCTTTTGCGACTCACACATCCCCCCTCTCGCCCCCCCCTGCCCACCCGCCGCCCCCTTGAAAAAAATTCGCCTCTCTCTACCCCGTCAGCCCTTGCCGACGATGCGGTGGTGGCATCGAATCCCTTCCATCGGTCCAACGAACATAACTCGACTTGCCTCTCCTCCTCACTCTATTCGTTGATTCCCTCCTCTTTTCCACTCTTTTTTACCAGCATTTCTTTCCCCTTCATCCCACCTACTATCGAACCTCTTTCTCCATCGTCGTGTGAGAGGGTGGCG